AGTATCACTGAGCTAAAACTACAATGGCATCATATGAATAAGTCCACATCTGTATATAGTATGCAAGAGTTAAGGACTCATGTGAATGCAACATTTATACCAGAAAAATAGAAACTATATTACCCATTTTTGTCTTGCCACACAGTTTCACAAAAGATCTTCAAAAGGTTCACTTGAGTAAATATTATCTAATCTCCTATTATGAACAAGGAACTACTGAAGATACAAACATAAGACACAGTGCTTACTCAAAGTGGAAATGGATTAATAAATAAGTGTACAAATGACAACGTTGATAATTATTCTTAGTACATTTAAATGCCAAAGGAATTTAAAGAAAGGGAAGAGTCTATCTCACTGAGCACTTATGTCTTCAAACTCTAAGAAATTACAAGACAGCTGAATACAAAATTTTGCTTTTCTGTGTTCCCACTAGGAAAACTGAAACATTTATTTAGTGATTGTGGAGTAGCTTGTGTAACAGTAGACAAATCTCCTAACAGTCTATTCAGTAGCCTGACCTTAGGAAATATCTGGTCTCTAATGTGAAGTTGGCTACTTTTGAGGAGAACTACACTGAGGCTTACACAAGACCCTCAAATCAGAACCCTGATTATGCCCATGGCAACAACATAATCCATAACATATACTAATTGTGTGAGCATGGCACAGATGGCTATGCTAACACCAAAAATTCATGTACCGTTGCTTGATAAAAAGTTGCCACTGGGGCCTGACCTCTGTGGCACACCTATAGCATCCCAGACTGCAGAGCTAAAAGTCACATGCCAACTGCAGATTAAGTCTCCAGCTGATACCCAGCTTCTGGTGGCCAGAAGGACTGATGGATTAGAGGGAAGGGATCACAGTATGATTGAGCCCTGTCGGGGGTGTTTCTCTCTTTCTCTTGCTCTCTCTCGTTTTCTCTCAAGTATGTGCACACACTCTATCATGAACAAAAAAGAAAAAGTGGCCACTGGACCCGGTCATGGCCTGATGGTTAAGGGATTCAGATTCCGCATGAACAACTACATGGTTTGAGTCCTGGACCCAGTAGCTTGAAAAATATACTGGAGGGACCAGCAGTTAGCGTAATGGCTATGTCACTGGACTCCCATGTAGTTGACCACGGTTCGAGTCCTGGACCCGGTGGCTTAGAACTCACGCCAGGTGCGTGTGCGTGCGTGCCCAAGATCCCGAGAGGAGAATGGAGGAGAAGGGATTGCAGCGTGGCCATGCCCCCAGGGGGGTGATTTCTCGCTTTCTGTCTCTCTGTCTCTCTCTGTCTTTCTGGCGAGTGCACACGCCCTATAGCAAAAAAAAACTCTCCAAAAAATACACTGGGCACATGTGCATGAGTGGCCAAAATCCTGAGAGAAAGGAGAAATAAAGAAAAAGGGCTTGAGGTATGATTACATCCCTCTGGGGGCATTTTCTCCCTCTGTCTGTCTCTGGTGAGTGCACGAACCCTCCGGTTCAAAAAAAAAGTTGACACTGGGAAGCAGCTGCCTGGACAGGAGAGCACTTCCTAGACCCTCTTGCGTCTCTATTGGGCCATGTAAGTAGTGGCTACTATTTCCAAGCTAAAGAAATTAATAAATGTTTTTGTCTCTTGCAAATTTTATCCTCTGAGTAAATAATGAGGATTGCAAAACTCTGGTCCTTTACTCACTGCAGGTCTACCAACCAGAACACTTGTACTGTGAAGTTATACAAGTGAGAAGTAAATGCTTACTAAGCGAAGACAGAGAAATCTGGGGGTTGGAACTGCAGTTAGTATTATTCAACTAACACAATAACCAAGGAGCCTAAGCCCAGTATCTAACAGAGCAAAAACAATAAAAGTTTCAGGTTGATAGTGAAATAAATAAAAAAAGGAATCACTTCTATGACATTGGTTGAGAAAAAAATCTGAAGGATATTATTCCCAAACAGTTTTGCAGTCATTCAAATATGATCAAATCCTGTCCACTTTGAGGTTGCTGAATTTCAATCACTTGTGGCAAGTCTAAATGTCTGCTAATTCTCCCTGCCATACAACATCTTTATCCACCCACCTTTTCTCACCAGCAGTAAATGTGTTTGAGACTACAATCTCATTTTCTTAGGAAAATAAACATAAGAAGATAAATTGATAGTAAAATAAAATTTTACATCACTACAAACTAATTTCTGAAGTACCTTTTTTTTTTTGGAGAGGTTTTTGCTATAGAGCGTGTGTGCTCACCAGAAAGACAGAGTCAGAGAGACAAAAAGTGAGAAATCACAACCCAGAGGGGATGGCCACGCCACAATCCCTTCTCCTCCACTCTCCTCTCGGGATCTTGGGCACACACGTACACATGCCTGGTGTGAGTTTAAGCCACCGGGTCTAAGACTCAAACCGTGGTCGACTACATGGGAGTCCAGCAACGTAGCCATTATGCCAACTGCTGGTCCCTGAAGTAAGTACTTTTAAGAGTATCTATGCAACTGGTCTCCACCACTGGAATAACTAATTATAGCAAGCTGTTAAGTATACACATATCAAAGGAGCACTGAACTCTAGATATGAGGATAAACCTACCTGAGGCCTGGGTTGCTACAGTGCAGTCACCAAGCTGGGTTTTCAGTGGAGGCACAATAATGGTACGAGTGCCAGTGCCATCTGCCACCACTCTACCAGGCCCCTCCAGAAGAGATCCACTATTGCCCCGAAGAGCACTCAGGGTGTCAGTAGAGTATGGGCTGCTCAAGGAAGAGTCGGAGTCTGGAGAATCATTGACGGTGACATAACTGATGACATTAGATCTTGGCTTCAGGCCAGAACTAAGGGAAAGAAAATACATGAAAATTTGACTGCCCTTTCAAGCAAGTTTCTTGGATGATTTGTGATCCTTGCATGGTGATGACAATGATGGTGATGAATAATACTCATGAAGGAGCACACTTCAAAGTACTTATGTATAAGGCACTGTTCTCACACTATACGTACATCTCACTGAATCCTTACAACACCGCCATGAAGTATCACTATCCCCACTGTACAGAGAGAAAACTGAGACATAGGGAGACTAAGAAACTTGGCCAAGGTCACCCAAGTTGCTAATAGTGAAGACAAGATTCAGATCCAGGAAAGAATGACTCCAGAGTCCACACTGTAAACACATACTCAATGTTGTTTCTTAGCCACTCCTATTCAAAGTTATTTCAGTAATATTCTTCACTTTTTTCCAAATCATCCCTCTAGACTATAAATGGATTTTCTGTAACTATTCAAACTTCTTACCACACATTTTGTTTTAATGACCAGTTATTTAATTAGGTTCTTGGCAAAAAATTTAGAACACCAATTTGTGAGGATAAACTCCATTTGTAAGGGCAAACACGGATCGCAGGTAGCCCTGGAGCTGAGGAACAGCTTTGATTTTTGGTAAAACTTGCAAGTCCACAGCTTTCTGATCAACCTTGCGCTGCTCTGAGATCTTGTATTTCTCCTTCTCTGTGTCGAAGATCTCACCTTCCTGATGTCTGGGCTTCCACAGTATCTTTTTCTTGAAGTAAGCATTGGTAAGGCGCTTTGGAATTTTTATTTTGCTAATATCAATTTTTGTAGAGGTGGCAATGACAAATTTCGAGTTCTACACAGTGGAACTCGACTGAGAACCAATGGTCCAGTTACAAGTAGCAAGCCACTGCTCAGCTGCTTTAGGAAAACCACTCTCTTGCCTCTGTGGCGTCCAGTGAGGATGATCAGAAAGGTCCCAGGAGTTGGGACCAGCAGTTGGCGTAATGGCTATGTCGCTGGACTCCCACGTAGTCGACCACAGTTCGAGTCCCAGACCCGGTGGCTTAAACTCACGCCGGGTGCATGTGCATGCGTGTCCAAGATCCCAAGAGGAGAATGGAGGAAAAGGGATTGCAGCATGGCCATCCCCCCTGGGGGGTGATTTCTCGCTTTCTCTCTCTCTGTCTGTCTGGCGAGCGCACGCCCCCTATAGCAAAAACCTCTCCCAAAAAAAAGAAAAAGAAAGGTCCCAGGAGTGATGCTAGCTCGCAGCTTTCTCACATGCTGACTGAAGGGTATTTCTGCCAGGTCTCAACAGCTTTCAAAGCACATCTTCAGTAGGATAATACCTAGGCATTTTGCACAGTTTAACTACCCGGGTACCACCATTCTTGTCTCCACCAACTGGTTTTGTGATAGTTGCTAGAACCTTCTCCTTTTTCTTTTCAATCCTGGTTTTAGTGGCCAAGTATTTCCTCTTGTACATGACCTCACTGGAATACAGGGTAGACAGGGAGTATCTGCTGATGCCCTGTACTAGGATGGGGTTTCAGCTGCAATCGGGCTTCCCCTTCTTGGGCTTTTTAGCCTTGGGGACACCCTTTTTAACCTTGTCACTGGCTTCAGGTTTCTTCTTAGTATCCTACTTCACAGCTTTTTCACCTGCCATCTTGTATAGTGGGAAAGAGAACTAAACTCCCTGCTTCCAGTCTATCTCACCACACATTTTTTTTTAAAGTTCCTTCACTAATTGATTTCTACCCCACTAACTTCAGCTTTTCCTTATTTTTTTAAATAGGACTGGCTCTAGTCAAAGCAATCATGCCAACTATACCTCACATACAATTTCTGCCACCATCATGCCCACTCTCCTCACTGGCAGGTTTACTTTTTCTCCTTCCTAAATCAGTTCAATAGCCACTTTCAACACTTAGCACCAAGACTACCATCTTACATAGCTCTTAGGAATGAAAAGGTTCTAAATTCATTCTAAATTTACTTTAAAGTTCATTTAAACTTCACCTATACATCACTCTGTAAAGTCTCCTAAGTTACCTTCATGTGTAAATTCTACCTTTTCATGTAAAAGCAGGATTATTCCCTCTACCACATGCCTAACACCAAACGTGTAATGAAACACACAACACGGAACTATCTAGGCAACCAAGCATATTCACACTAAGTGTGTGTCAGTTCTTAAACTTACCCACTCTCTCTCAGTTATCTTGCCCTGTTAAGAACCTGAACTATGGTGCTAAGATAAGAAGAAATAATTTGGCATTTAAAATCTTACACTTTCAAATCTCATAGCAGAGAGGGGGAAGGTAGCCTGATTTAAAAATTCTAACTCTTCCAAAGTGCCTTTTCAGATAAATAAGTTTTAAATAACCTCTTATCTACCTACTCATTCCAATTAACTGTTGTTTATATGCTTTTGCTACAGAATCCATTTTCAGACTATAGTGTTCCTTAAAGGCAGGATCATGTCTGTATTTAATATGCAGTCCAAGCTAGAGTGGCCTGTCAACTTAAGATAAACCTGTTCCCGGGAACCAGCAGTTAGCGTAATGGCTATGTCGCTGGACTCCCACATAGTCAACTGCGGTTCGCATCCCGAACCCGGTGGCTTAAAACTCAGGCCGGTCGCGTGTGCGCCCAAGATCCCGAGAGGAGAATGGAGGAGAAGGGATTGCGGCATGACCATCCCCTGGGGGGTGATTTCTCACTTTCTGTCTCTAATGTCTCTCTCTGTCTGGCGAGCGCATGTGCCCTATAGCGAAAATCTCTCCCAAAAAAAAAAAAAAAAGATAAACCTGTTCCCTAATGTACCTGAAAGATTGATTTTAACTGATGAAAATGTGTATTAAAAACTTGACAATGCCCAATTTCTAAAAACTTCAACACTTTAGCTGACTGACCCAAGGCCATACTTCCAAAATACCTTTTTTTAGTCCTTTCATAGCCAAAACTGGGCCACCTGTGAGAGTCCAACAGTCTAAGACCAACAGAGTCCGGGAACCCCTCACATATCTTACCTATTGGGCTTATATTTGTTGTCCTCTTCCTCATCAGTGTCACTTCGGATAGTGATGACACTCACAGGAGGGCTAGGAGTATCAGGAATGATGATTGGCTGATGCTGATCTTGGACAGGGACTAGAGAATTAAAAGAAGATGTGGTGCGGAGGGGACTGCTACCGACCAGAGAATAGACTTGGGAAGGGAGAACATCCAGAGAGGATCTGTAGGAAAAGTTCATAAGGAAAGACTGTTCAGTCCTTGGTACTCCAATTACAAATCTTTTCCCCAGACAGCTTTCTAACTTGTTCTTTGATTCCTTTATTTATATATATATATATATATGTGTGTGTGTGTGTGTGTGTGTGTGTGTGTGTGTGTGTGTGTGTATATATGCCGCATATACCTCACACACAATTTCTGACACCATCATGCCCACTCTCCTCACTGGCAGGGGTGTATATATATATATATATATAAACACACACACACACACACATACACACATATATAATTATATATATTATTTATTTATATGTATATGTATGTATGTATGTATGTATGTGTGTGTGTATGTGTGTGTATATATATATTTATATATATATGTAGTCTAGATATAAGCTTTTTCTTTTTAAGTCTAATCACTAAGCTAACATACTTAACTACAAAAGTTCTAAAGAAAAATAAACCGAAGCCAGCCTTGCAGTACAGAGGCTAAGCACTGTATATAGGAGGCCATCTCTCTCAATAATGACCATCCATATATGCTGCCCAGGATCCTGTCAGGATGGAGAAATGGAGGAAAAAGGACTCAAGCGTGACCAGTCCCATTGGGGGTTATATACACTCTCTCCCTCTCTCTCTCATGTAAACACATGCTATCAGGTAACAAAATGGTTAAGTTGCTGGACTCCCTTGTGGTTGACTGTGGTTCGAGTCCCAGACCCACAGGCTTAAAACTTACATGGGGAACGTGTGCATGCATGCCCAAAATTCTGAGAGGAGAATGGAGGAGAAGGGACTGGGGCATGGCCACTCCCTAAGCAGGTGATTTCTCGCTTTCTGTCTCTCTGGCAAGTGCGCATACCCTACAGCAAAAATCCCTCTTTTAAAAAAAATACACTTAAAAGGACTTAATAAATAAACTGGCCTATCTGCAGTGGCACAGGCACCATAGGAAGCTCAGTTCAGATCCCATGTTGGCTTCAACATCCTGGGTTGACCTATACATGCTGATGATACACATACCTGTGGTCCTAGCTGGCTTGGTTTAAAAGCTAAGGGAAGAGTCATGGCATGGCAAGATACCCTGTCAAGGGTATCTCTCTCTCTCATGAAATAAACATTAATTTTAAAAAACAAAAATAGAAACTAACAATTCTGACCAGATTTTCCAGGGATAAGAATACCAAAAAACAAATTTGCACTTATATGTCTTTTAATTTTTGCAAGCTCTTTACTCCAGGGTTAAAATTCTCTATATACAGTAGGAAGGAAAATAAAGAAGGCCTGGATTCAAAGTGGCAGTAGAGAGACAGGATAATCATAACCAGGACACACCTAGTGCATACCCAAAGTCCCTACACCTCAACACTCCAAATACTGACAACATCTCTCTCAACCTGCTACAGTTAGAACTATTAGCTATAATACAGACTTACTTGGAACTGGCTGGAGCAGACTGCTTATTCTTCTTCGAAGGGAGGGAACTGGACTGTTGTTGTTGCCTGACAACATGGGCAACACCTACATTCAGGGGCTGAGCAGTGGCCAATGTCACGTGGTTAGTGAGCAAGGATGGCTGTTGCATGATGGTGCTGTACTGGTTACCATGAGAGTGGGCATTTCTGTACCAAGAGAGAAAGAAGAGTGAACCCCAAAGCCACTAGGAAGTCAGGCCACACAGGTATGAAAAGCAATTCAAGGACCAGCAGTTAGTGTAATGACTATGTCGCTGGACTCCCATGTAGTCGACCACGGTTCAAGTCCCAGACCCAGTGACTTAAAACACGCCGGGCACGTGTGCATGCATGCCCAAGATCCTGAGAGGAGAATGGAGAAGGGATTGCGGCGTGGCCATTCCCCCTGGGGGGTGATTTCTCGCTTTCTGTCTCTGTCTGTCTCTGTCTGTCTGGCAAGCACACGCACCCTATAGCAAAAACCTCTCCAAAAATAAAAAAAAAGAAAGAAAAGCAATTCAAACAACCAAACACAGCTGCATTTTATTTTTTAATTTCGGCACCTGGATTACAAGGCTTTAGAATCCCACTATATGGTTCCTAACTGCTAAGGACTTTCTTTAAATCTGCAGTAAATGATTCCTGACCTTAGAAACTATTATTTTCCTATATTTGGAGTTTTCTTTCAACTCCATCTCCTCACATGCTATGTGTTCTTTTTTTAGGGGATTTAACACAGATCATTTTCCTTTATTTTCCTCCTAGTCTCTGCATAACATTGAGTTCTCCTACCCTAAAGGATCTGCCTTTGCAAATCTCCCAGAGAAACAAGGGGCACTTACCTCCAGTCTGCTAGCTGCTGGCTACTCCCCATGGCCTCTGGAATCACTGCTGTGGGCTGGACAGAGTTATGTAGAGCTACCCCAGGCAACTGTTGCCAAGTTGAAGGCAGGAGAATTTGTTGCGTTCCTCCCGGCCAAGCCTGCTGTAAGGAAACACACACAAAAAAGGATCCAGACTTGACTCACTCTTGTTTTGGGTTTTTTTTTTTTTTTTTCTGTGATTTAGATGAAAGAAAAATTCATATCCTAAAAGAAATTGCTTGTAGACTGTTAACTTGCAGAGATTAAAAAAGAAAGGTCAGAGGGGCTCAAGGCTATAAGTCTTATGAATGGGCAAAGAGAACATTTTGTTTTCTCTAAGCCACCTCCATAACCTGACCACCAGGGTAAGAAAAGAAGATCCCTGCAGGTAAGAGTTCTTATTACACTATAAAGAAAGGAGTCTGCAAATTGAGAGATAAGCTCTGGTTAAATACTAGTGTGTTATTTTGGCTATAATTTCAAAATATATCCCTACAAAGAATTAAGAGAACTCCCTTAAGATTAAAAATAGGAATTTTAAAATTTGAGTGCCAATCAGGTATAAGATTAATTCAACCCATAAAACAACTGTCCCCTCTTTTTTAAAGGGGTTGTATGTGGAAAAAAGAGCCAGATATGGATGACCTAAGGCCAAATCCTTTGGCAAAAAAGCCTATGCCAATGAGAGAGCTAACTTCATCATTTATAAGCATATGATAGAATTTAAAAATAAGATAAGTAAAATATTTTAAAAGCGGATGAAGAAATCTATTTTGTTCTTAACAGTTCCTAAAATACACTTCTATATATCCCTTGTAGAAACATACTTCAACATAAAAATCAATCACTATAAGAAAATTGTTAATTTCTGCTTTTTTAACAAGCCACATCACTATAATAAACTGAGCAACAAATATGTTTTCTATACTTATTACAGAAATTCCAACAATTTCTGAAAAAGTGGGAACAGATTTGAAGTTTCCTTTTTAAACTTGAGTTCTCAATACCTACACAATACTTGGGTACATATGGTTCTGTTTCTTGAATTTCAAACTGCAAGGCCATTAACACACTGCTTTAAAAATATTTCTGCAAGTAACAGATCCACTTGTTACAAATATCAGTTCCAAATAAGAAGCCTTAGGAAACTGCAAACATGTCTGCTACCATAAGCAGAATTTAAAACAAAACAAAACAAAACAAAAAAATAAGAGAAGTATGTTAAGTCACACCATGCGTCTTTCCATAAGCCAACACCTGCACAAGACAAAGCATGTAGTTTAATACAGAGCAAGAAATAACATTCCAACGTGAGGCAGAAATCTGGCGTTCCAAGCGACGAACTGTTTTGACAGAAGAAGAACAAAAATATGCAAAGCTTAGCAAATGGCTAGTGCAAACTTAAGAGAAGCAGCAGAGAAGTGTCAACTAACATTCCCAACCTCAGAACTATAGGTAAGCAAGTTAAAAACCAGTGGCTTGGATCAATCAAGTTGAAAATAGATCTGACTCCCTTGCACTCTGGTTTTATGCTTATGAGAAAATTAATCTAGAAGCGACAAGACTTTTAAACTGAAAATCAAACACATTCCAACTAAAAACATATTTCTGAAAGCATTTTCACTCACATAAATACTTGAGAAATAACAAAATAAATGTAAAGCTACTTTGAAAGATATAGAAGTATCCTGATTTGATAGTCTCATTTAGGTTTTGAAATGCTTACCCGATTCTAAATTTCACATAATGTAATGCTGGATATCCAATAAACAATTCTCACTTCCCCAAGTAAACCAAAACATCCAAAAATCACTGTTAAGAGGTTACTGATCCTGAAAAATACCTTAAAATCCTGTTTGTTTTTCCTATCTCTAAGCCTGATACTACCACAATTGTGGCTATATTCAGTAACTTTTCCCATGACATTTAATAACAAAGACACTGTACTTGTGTAGTTTGTCAGTCAAATCTTCACCTTTGTAGAAAAATCTATTTAAAAAATAACTGATTGTTCCAAAACCCCTTAGAAATGAATTTGCCTTTAGTTTTAAGCAACAGTATGATCTACAAGCATTCTAGTGGGAACATCTTTAAATGGAGACATACTCTGCCACTTATAAATGGCAAAAAGAGCTACATGTTCACAGAAGTTAGGTTAATATCAACTGATAAAGCAATAAATGAAGAGCATCTTAAATGTTTCTACATGCAAAAAGTTTTAGGAGCTTAAAACAGCAAGAAAAGGAAGCTAACTTGCCAAGGAGTTCAAATTTTGGCCATCCGGGTACCTGCAGCAGAATCAAACTAAAGGCCATTTCTTTCATTCTCAAGGATTGGAAGGTAAAAGGGTAAAAAAAAATAGGTAACACTGTTGAAGCTCTTCTGAGGCTATGCCAAGAGCTTTTATCACATTAGGCTGGCAAAAAAGAATCAAGGGACCTGGCTCCTTTCAGAGCCACACTGAACACCAGAGTCAAACAGTGCGTCAGCAAATGTTTGGGAGGAAAACAATGAGACATTAAAGATGCAGCAAGAACACAGCCACAAGATGGCACATGCTTCCATGCCCTCTGTAAAGACTATGCTAAAATTTTTCTTTTGAAAAATGAGAAAACCAGAAGAAAACAGAACAAAAATAAACAGGAAAAAATAAAAAAGAAACCAAAGAAACTCCGTTAGTAACACAATCAAGTGAGGGGAATTACCAGTACAGCGGCAGTCTGTTCAACCAGCGCCGGCCGGCCGGCTGCGCAGCTCAGGGTAAAGGGCACCGCATACTGCGGTGTGATGGTGGCTACTTGAGGGTGGAGAGTTGCTACCATTAGTGGTGTACAGCTTCCCTGAAACGTAGATTAGGCAGGTGAGTGAAACAAACATGGAGGCAGGTTATCTGGATTCAGAAGGGTTCTCATTCCCCCCAAGTTATCAACAATAAACAGTCATTTCGTATCACCTAAAATGCATGTACCAAACACAACTTTTCCCCTTCAACTGCACAGCACTGGCCCACTAGGTCAAATGTCAATGGCCTAAAGTAAAAAAGCATAGATATCCTTCTTGGGCCAGATTCAGAGGACCAGTTCTAAAAAGCAAAGGCATTATTAAGAATTCTTCCCTTTATTCACAAAATAGGGCTTTTGGATTTCGGAATTTCCTGTGTGTCATGGGCCACAAGCATTTACATATAGAATTTAAAAGATAGTACTGTTACTATACAAACACTCCATGGTTTTCTCGATAGTTTTAGTTGCATGTTCCATAGCAAGTATGAAGATTTAAAGCTTTCTACAGCCTGCTTAAACACAAGGAATGAAGGAATGTAACACTTGAAGAAGCATCCTGCTGTGATCCAACCTCTCAACCTTGCCGAAATTCTAGAAGAGTGAGCAAAGAGGATACTAAAGCAGAAAAAGTGGAACTTTATATTTTAGAATCAAAATGTTCTATGTGTATTATAAATATAAATTACTCCAAGGTAATTTAAAAAGCTCCCACAAAATTAGGGTAAACTTAATTAGAAGACTATCAATGTCTGTATATTTACCCCTGCAAGTCTTTACTAGTAGAGTTGAAATATCACAGGAATGAGTCCATTGTTCTATAGAGATATTTCATGTTAAGTCCACTGAATCATGGCCAAGAAAGATCTTAGAGTCAAAACAAATGCTACTTCCTAGGATAAAATATCTGATTCTCAATAGTGCTCCAGCATTATCAAGTGTCCACACTGCTCTGACTTTTACCTGTGTAAGAACTCCCGACTGGATCTGTAGTGGCTGAGCTGCTGGCGCCTGGGGTACAATTGGCACAGCATTATCCATCCTCACAGGGAATCCAGAATGCTTTGTTGTTGCTTGTAGTCCAGCTGTTGAAAACAGTATTACAGTTAAATTGCTTTGCTAGGACTGGGAGTTCTGTTTGTTTTATTGTTGTTGTTGTTGTCTTTAGCTTTTCTGTTTAAATAATTTACTACTCTGGTTCTTGGTTCTGAACACTTAAGATAAAGGGGTTTCATTTATAAACATATTGAGGGTTAAGAAAAAGTAGGGGTCAATGGTTAAGGGAGCCAGAACCCACACGGCCAACTAGATGATTCAAGTCCAGGACCAAGTGCCTTGAAAATATGCCAGACACATACATGCACATGCCCAAAACGAAGCCAGGATGGAGAAATGAAGGAAAAGGGATTGCTGCAATGACCACATTTTATTTGGGATGCTTTCTCCATCTCTCTATCTCTGGCAAGCACATGTACCCTCTGACAAATTTTTTTTTAAAAAGGGTCAGGGGGAGAACTGGTTCCCTTCCCTTCAGGTTAGATTAATGGAAAGATGTCTGACAGAGAAAGTGCTGGTTTAAGAGAATTTTAATTTTTTAAAAGAATTCATTTTATTTTTAATTTGTTATAGGGCACATGTGCTCACCAGAAAGAAACTGAGAGTGAGTGAGTGTGAAAGGGAGAGTGAGAGAAAGTGAGAAAGCAAGCCACCAGGTCTGGGACTCAAACCAAGGTTAGCCATATGAAAGTCCAGTGACTCAACCACCTCACCACCTGCTGGTTCCCTCCAATATTTTTATTAATGCTCCAAACTTGAAAACACAATATTCATCCCATTCCCCATTATGAGTATAGGCACAAGGGGGCTTGCAAGTGGCATGGTGCTTAAGGGTGCTGAACTCCCACATGGTTGACTTGGCTTGCTTTCTCACTTTCCCTCTCTGTCCTTCTGTGGTCAAATTAAAATAAATCAAAAGATTAATTAATTAAATTTTTTTTAAAAGTACAGGCACGAAAGGCCTTTGCTTAGTAAGGTATATTTAATTTTTATCTATTAAGGGGAAAAATATATGTGTTTAAAAAAATAAAGACTTGGATATCATTATAATTGTGGTTAATTAGATAAGAAAAATTATGAAAAACTCAATAATTATAATCTAAGTTACCCTTTTGTCTAGAATGTTTTAAAGGATTTTCTCCCACTTTTCAAAAAACATAACCTAGTTCACAATTTACTATAACTAACATGTGAGCTGAAGAAATTATGCCTAGACTAAAAATATTTTAAAAGCAGACATTTTGATTTATGGACTTTTTTCTACTTATTTTAGAAATCTGTTTCTGTCTTTGACAGGTTTCTATTAAGGTTCTTTTGTAGTAAACAGCTAGGAAAATCAAGAACACTTTGTTGCCTTTAAAACAGTATTCATGTCTTATTTATTTACTATGCTGTCAGTGTAAAGGTTGAATGTTTCCTATAAACAGGAATATCTCATTCTGGAGAAGAGAGGGTCAAGACATTTCTACCCTTTTGCCAAGACTTCAGAAGAAAGCCTTCAAAACATTCTTCTATTTATTTTATTTTATTTTATTTTATAATTATTTAATTTTCTATATGGCACATGCACTCACCAGAAAGAAAAAGAGAAATAAAGTAAGGAAGCAAGCAACCAGTCTGGGACTCGAACTGCAGTTGGCCATTTGAGAGTTCAGTACCTCAACCACCACACCATATGCTGTCCCCAAAGTTTTCTTCTAAACCCATCCTATCAAAATTTTTCATGCAGAGCATTTACAGTTCTATTATGCTTCCAATTCACTAATACATGCAATATTATTAAGTGAAAACCCAAACTTTTTTCCCTAATTTTGCTAAAGGATAAATGAGCTAACTGAGATTTGCCGGGGGAGTGAGAAAGCACTCTCACAAGGAGAGAAACTGAAATCTCATCTTTTTCATTCTACTCTTGGGATTTGGGGCATACACATGATGAGCATCATTTTCAAGCCACTGGGCCAGGGACTCGAACTGCAGAGTTGGCCATGTGGGATCCACCTGCCTCAACCACTGGCTAGCCAGAAGACACAAACATTTTAATTAAATGATTTATTTGGCAACATTTCCTAAGCTATCACCAATTCATTTCTCTTAATATGATTATGGAGATATCAAATGAACACAACTTGTAACCCATAATACACTGCTGTTTTCAATAAGTTTCAAATTTCTACTTCAATAACTTATGAGTAATTAGTAACAAGTTGTGATAAAGAAAAATACAATCCAGAAATATAATAAGAATAGTAAATTTAGAATTAAAATACTATAACAATACTTTTTTAAAACAGTGCTTACCTTTATCAAAATTAAAAAGTAACAAATCTAGCTATCAAGATTAAAAAAGTTGTCAGTCGTGCTTCCTTAGGCAATGCGATCTAATAAGAAAACTAAGTGACACAAAAATTCTTGCCTATAGTCTCAGGATACATGACTAACCAAAAGACAATGTTATTACAATGGCATCATACAAATTGGTAGGACCTGAGGCAAAAGTTAGAATAAATGTTCACTACAGACGGTCATCTAGGGCTCTTAGTATGATAAAGTAAAAGGGGACAAAATTACAGAGCAAGAATTACCACTGAGCAGAATGTGTATCTATTTTGGTCAACTGGAATACTATGGAAAGTAGTATTTATAGTACTGTCCTACAAATGTGACTCTAAAAGTATTAGACTGCTGTAGTAATTTAGGCTAAGCTAAGGCAGTCAAGCTACTTTAAAACTAGCTCTTTCTACCACAAGTTGAAAGGTTTAATAAAAGGCAATACTTTGGGAAAATTCTTACTGAATCCTCACGTAGGATTAGAGTTCTTCTTTTTTTTTTTTTTTAGAGAGACAGGATCTCACTATGTTGCTTAGGCATGATCCTCTTGCCTCTGTCAGTCTCCTGAGTAGCTGGACTACAGATGTATGCTACTGCACCAAGCTCTAGCATTTTGTTGTTTTGTTGAGTTATCCCTTTACATAAAGAACCATGGATCTATGTAAATAAGAGTAAAACTGTCTAATTGATGAGAGATATTTAACCTTCTCTAAATATAGGCATCTTGTAAAATAATAAATGGGGAAAAAGTGAGCAACCTCACTCATGGAATAGGGAGGTCTGCTGGAATTAGCAAATGGCACAGGCTGACAAATCAACAACTTTTACAGCTATTGAGTTTAAATACTGAAAGGCAGTAAGAAATGATACTTCAGAATACGTAAGTTATGAATCCTACCTAGGTTCACATCATAATTCTGCCATAATTAGTTACAACACTTGGGTAGATGAGGAAATTGTTCTCAATTTTCTCTTCTATAAATTGGGAATGACACTACCCAGTTTGGGGCTGTTTGTGAAGGTGAATTAAAACATGTAAAAGTACCGAGAATATTTTCTAGCATATAGTGATACATATAAGATATCATCACCACCACCACCTTAATTTCAAAACTCCCTTTCATTTGGAATTTTTTATAATTTGCTTTCTTCAGATTATTAAAACTTCCTAGGTAGAAACATTTTTTTCAAACCTTATACTTACCAAGTATAATTATGCTAAGAGGTGTTATCCTACTTTTTCCTCTATCTGTTCTTTACATTTTGTTAAAAAGAACTCAAAAGTTTTGTTTCATCTCCTAAGTATCATTTGAGAGAAGCAGAAAACTTTAGGGTCCCACATCGAAAAATCATTCCAATGAAATGCACTTTGGAAAAGGGGAAAGGGGTAACTAATTTGCTAAATTCAACAGAAGAATCAAACATGACAATCAAAAGTACAGAATTTATATTATGAAGCTTATGCAAAAAATATTGATAATTTGCTATGTTAGGCTAAATTCGCATTTACGGATTTTAAATTTGCTCCTCCGCTCTCCCTGTGGTTTCTCCCTGGTTTACACCGCTATCGCTCTCCTGTCCTCTCGGTAATCTCTCAGTCTCCCCTATACCCTCTTTTCCTTCTGCTTGCTCCGATTCTGTCAGAAACCAAACAAACAAAGAGTCACAATCAATAAGTAACTGAAGTGAAAAGATAAAGATGCTACCTCTTCTATGTGAAATGCTATGAGCAGCCTGAATCCTGGTTTATTCCAATAGGTTATTGACACTGACCTCCTACTGGGAAAGTCAAGTGTGTCACCATAAAATATCCTTAAAATAATTTCACATTTTAAATGGCTTACCAAATTAATAAATACACATTCTCCATATTTTAGAAAAAAAAGGAATTAGACTAAAGAATAATGAGAAAATGGAGGACGAGACTGAAAATTTTCATCTTATTTCAACATATGGAGTCAGCCGCCTTCTTCAGCAATTTTGTTCTGTTGACAGAAGTTTGAAGGAATGATATGATTCACAGGCTGAATCTTAATGGCTTCCCTATGCAAACACCTCAGCTAACAGAATTTTTCAACTCAATACATATCTTTATTTCTGAATAAATTTAAAAGGTTTCTACATTCTTAAATAGGATTTTTATATTTAGAAAAAAAATCTTTTATTTGGAACATAGTCTTATTTTATGAGATATAGGAAACAAGATTTACTATATGGCAATTCTGCTTAAAGCAAATTTTTTCAAATTATTTCAGATGTACATATTCTGCATTTTGAGAGATGCTTATATAGAAGATATATGACACTGATACAAGGCTTTAATAGGCAAGAAAATGGATATCAAGCAATTCAATTAAGGAAATACAATTAAGCTCCTATAACATGTTGGCATTATCATAATTAGATAAAACACCAATAAAAAGGAAAAATGCATTCTGTGAAGCTATCACTCAATTCCAGTTACTTGCACTGTCAAAGTCAGAGCTAACACTTATCAAAGATCAGAAGTAAATAACTAGATATCCAATAAGGATCTGCCTAAAGCAGGTAGGTCTGACATAATACCAAAGGATACAAGAGTTTCTTCACTTACTTTGAAAAGCAGGTGGACATACTATAAATGTTTGTTGGAATGGGTCTGTCTGAGTGCAAATCTGGGTAGTTCCAGGCTGTAAGGAAACACCCTGTTGGGCAACTCCAGGAACTGGTGCAGCAGATGACGGGTACAGAGCCGACTGATAGTTTAGCAGTGAGACATCTGAATTAGCTAGAGAAAGAGTAGCAGCTGCTGCTGTAGAACTGGAAGCTAGAACACTGGCCTAAAAGCAAAGGAATTATATTTGTATACTGGTATAAATCAGAGACAGATAATATTTTTTTGGCACATGCAGAATCAGAACAATATTATAAAATGTAATGTTAACTATCTTTTTTTGTTTGTTGTTTTAATTTGCTACAGGGTGTGTATGCTCACCAGAGGAAAGAGGAGTAAGAAAGCACCCCATAGGGGGAATGGCCAAGCCACAGTCCCTTCTCCTCTCAGGATTTTGGACATGCACACACATGTGCCCTGTATGTTTCTCAAGCCACCGGGTCCAGGATTTGGATTGCTTGGTTAGCCATGTGGAGTCCAGCTGTCTTAACCACCACACCATGGCTGGCCCCTACTATCTTTGAGTAACTCTCTGCTTAAGAAATTTCCTCAGTCCCTAAATGTAAGACATATAAGTAGGTCAAATAAGCAAATGAAGAATAACAAATGATCTATACTGGTTATAGCTATCTAAACCTCAATACTTCTTGCATAAAACTGCTAGATGAGAAATCCTACCAAGTCTCATATCCTCTTCCATTTAAAAAGCAGACCTATGGGATTAGCAGATGGCATAGAGGCCTCCCATGATGTCACTGGATTCTCACATAGTTGACTGTAGTTCAAGTTCCAGACCCAGCAGCTTAAAACTCACACCGGGCATGTGTGCATGCATGCCCAAAATCCCAAGAGGAAAATGGAGAAGGGATTGCAGGGTGGCCATCCCCGAGGGATTTCTTGCCTTCTGTCTGTCTCTTCAGTCAGCGCACATGCCCTACAGCAAAAATCTCTCTTAAAAAATAAAAGCAGACTTAGCTAAGCAATTGAGAAGCTTGTATCTTTAGAAACAAACTTAAATTTAAGTTTAAGTTACTGATTACCAAACAAATGTAAAGCTACCATTAAAGTTAATTATTAGAAACACCTTCAATGTAGTCATTAGACATATAAAATTTTTCTAGCAAAGAGGTAGTCATTAAGTTAAACTAAGTACAACTAACAACATTAAGTAGTACAACAGTTATCCCCCATTTATATAACTATGCTAAGACGTATGAGGGCATGGATTTAAAACTGTCAGCATGTGCCTGATCGCTACTATCAGTCTACTCTATCTTCCATCACTTTTCCTATATAGAAAATTTTTAAGAAGCAACAAGACAACCAAAACAGACCAATATCTTTACCTCACCCTATACTTGTTCTAGCTTCTATCACACTTAGGCTTGAGTTTCCCAAATAATTTATCAAATACCTGATTGTGCACTGTATTGAGCTGGTTGCTGAAGCTCATGGTTAGATTTGTGCTTGTATTTGGGGCAACATGTGTTGTGAAGGGACTCTTGATCTGACTCACTGTATCATACATGTGAACCCTCCGCTTGCAGATCTCCATGTTCTGAAAACAAGATTTAACACTGAAAAAGAGATGGAAAATTCACTAAACAAATGCTGAGATTTAAACAAAAAACAAGTAACTCAAGATGAACACAGATCAAAGTGTTTTTTTCCAGACACTTCCAGTTTTTATAATTATAAAGAGAAAAAATACCCATGTAATTTTTAATCTCATGATTTTCCAACAGAAAGAAAACCATTAGTGAGCCAGATATACAAGTACCAAGTTGCTGCTCCCTTGACAGTTCTGTTCATAAAATGGTAATTCAGACAAGAATCACATAATGGCAAAAAGTCCCAAGACTATTCCATACTCACTGATTGCTATGTGGAAAATCCAGAAGGTGAGTCATTGTTACAAACTGATGGTTTAGAGTTTTCAGAGGAGTAATTCTCTTATCTGCATCAATTGTTAGCATTTTTTTTAACAGATCAATGTATTCTCTTCGATCTGCCTTCTCTGCCAACATGTCTGTTCCCTCCAAGTCTGTAGACATATTCACCTTCAAGAAAATGTAGAAACATACTTCTTCACTTAACTTTTAATGTTGACACTAAATATCTGCTTTCTTTCTAAAACTTTACTATATTCTCTCTATTTATATAGTAAGCAAAAGAGAAAGGTAGGTAAACTCTTTTTATTACACTGTAATCATTTTCACAGAAGGAAGCTCTATTAATAACAAGCTCTACTTAAAATCTTCACCTAATCTTAATGGTAGACTAAAGCTAAATAAATTTGTCATTAAAAATGTGGAACAAATAAGTAAACAAAGTGATTGCTATTACTTACATATAGAAGTTTCTATTGTTGAAAGATTAAATGACCTAAGTGTAAGGTGTTTAACAGTTTAGAACATAATAAACACTCAAAAAATACTAGCTGTTATGTAAATATCTATTTTCTAGAGAAAATGGAAAATGAAATCTTTATACAAACATTGACATGTAACAAGACCAATTAAGAAAAAGCAAGGGAGGAATATATAGTTCTTTTTTTTGGGGGGGGAGAGGTTTTTGCTATAGGGCGCATGCACTCGCCAGACAGACAGAGAGAGACATAGAGACAGGAAGCGAGAAATCACCCCCCAGAGGGGATGGTCACAGTTATGCCGCAATCCCTTCTCCTCCATTCTCCTCTCGGGATCTTGGGCACGCACACACACGCACCCGGAGTGAGTTTTAAGCCACCAGGTCCGGGACGCGAACTGCGGTCGACTACGTGGGAGTCCAGCAACATAGCCATTACGCTAACTGCTGGTTCCCAGGAGGAATATATAGTTCTGAAAGTGCCCTGTTAAGATTCAAATGCCCTTAGGACCAGAAGTTAGCGTAATGGCTATGTCGCTGGATTCCCACATAGTCGACCGCAGTTCGCATCCCGGACCCGGTGGCTTAAAACTCACGCCGGGTGCATGTGCATGCGTGCCCAAGATCCCGGGAGGAGAATGGAGGAGAAGGGATTGCGGCATGGCCATCCCCCCTGGGGGGTGATTTCTCGCTTTCTGTCTCTCTCTGTCTGGCGAGCGCACACGTCCTATAGCAAAAATCTCTCCAAAAAAAAAAAAAAAAAAAGATTCAAATGCCATTTTCATATATGACAGAATATTAATAATTTTCCTATAAAAACTGAAAATGAATACTAGAAAGTTAACAGATTAAATCTGTCTTTAGTATAACGAGTGGATGGGTCTCTGACTAAACAAACACATAAATGTTTAACTTTCAGAAAGCTTCCATACTCACCTGAGCCATGTCATCTAAACAGTTAAAAATGTACTTCCGAGCTTCTTTTGATTTTATTCCAGTCTCCAATTCATGTTCTTCAGGTGTCTATAAAACATGAATTAAAAAAAAAATCTATATGCTGGGGACCAACAGTTAGCATATATGGCTATATTGCTGGACTCCCATGTAATCGACTGTGGTTCAAGTACTGGACCTGGTGGCTGAAACTCACACTGGGCGTGTGTGCATGCGTGCCCAAGATCTCGAGAGGAGAAGGGACTGTGGCGTGGCCATCCCCCTTGGGGGTGATTTCTCACTTTCTGTCTCTCTGTCTCTGTCTTTCTGGCGAGCTCAAGTGCCCTACAGCAAAAACCTCTCCAAAAAAAGAAAAATAAAATCTATATGCATGTTATTTTCACGTTTTATTCTCAACTAAAGCCAGAATACAAAGAGATAGGTGTCATCACCTTATCAACCCCAGACGGCAAACATGAAAGTAATTTACAACCAGAAAATCTTCCAATATGGAGATGTGAGCATGATATCTAGCTACCATTTCAACAGTGATAAAAAAAATAATATGTAAGTAATGATCCAGCACAGTTCCTGAAGAATATCAAGTAAGAAGGGACACTGCCATTTTTCTCTTATAACTATACCTTGAAATAAATCAATATTGCAAATGCTAATATTCAACAGGGTCAGAGGCCGAGAGTCACTGGGTTAATCAAATTACTAGAGAAGGCCAAACCAGCAGTGGTTAAGCACTGTATTTTGGGAGCCAGATCCCACATAGCAGACCATGGCTCTAGTCTCAGCCCCAACAGATTGAAAAACATCTAGGCACATGTACAATCATGACCCAGGATAGAAAAACTGACAGGATAGAAAAACTGAGGAAAAGGGTGGTGGGACCACACCTAGTTGAGAGATGCTTACATATGCATGCTCTCTCTGGCAGTTAAAAAAAAAAAATTACTCAGGATTTCTTGAATAAAAGGAGTAGACTCAGAAGTGAAAAGCAGATACTTGTTTCAAGAAAAACTATAAGCCCAAATGTGAGCAGTTAGAAAATTATGTTTATCAGAATTCTGTAAAAATAGTCATTACTAAATTTCTCCAGTTTTTCACATGACTTATCCTGAGCACTACTCTTCACACCTCCTTCTCAGCTGTTGTTTCAAAAATATACAAAATAACTTCAGCCAACTGAACTGGCTAGTATTTAATGTGTTTCTGTTTTGTTTTTAAATTTTCTTTCTTTCCCCTGAGTGAGAGGAGAGAATGATAGACAGAAACAAGGGCCCTCATCCCATAATCTACCCTACCTTCAGACAGCCTCAGATCATAGGCACACATGCACCTGGTATGTTCAGGAAGGATGCTGGATACAAACTTGGAACCTTTCCATGTATTATTACCTCTGCATTGTTTGGCTCCCTTATACTTTGTTTTTTAATTAAGGATTAGACCAAACGGGTACAACAAAATAATTTTTCAAAGTATTTCCCCCTACAAATATACCTTCTCTCCATCTCATTTCCTTTACCACAAGAATTTAATAACTAAACTTGGATTTCAAAGTTAAAGGTGGGATGGCCAGCAGGTGGCGTGGTTAAGGGTCCTGGACTCCCACAGGCCGACCACGTTCAAGAGGCAGGTCACTTTCTCACTTTCTCTCTTTCGTGCACTCTCACTCACTCTGTCCCTCTCTAGTCAAATTAAATTAAATTAATAAATTTAACTAAAATTATTCTTAAAAAAAATTTTTTTAAAAAAAAGGAGTTGAAGGTGGTAAGTACAGGAATGGGTAGTATACAAGGGAAAACAGACCTTTAGCCTCCACAGTGGATATCCCAAGTTGGGATCTCTATTGAAAAACCTGGTTGTTTTCGTTCCAGCACTGAGAAGATATTCAGCTGGTAGGCCTTGTGTTTGTGAAATGTAACGAATCTGAAATATCAAAAACATCAAATATCAATTTGGAGTGAAGAAAGAAATTGTTTAAGACTTTTACACTAAATTATTAGCTGTTAGTCAAAAAAAGTAAGCTATTGCAAAGAAAACAGCTCTTAATACAACTAAAATTTATCTATAAATGCATATGCTAACTCATACAAGCAATTTTCAAATATTAAGTTAATGTGCTTGCCATTGTTTCTGTTGTTTAATAAGAAAATCCAATTTAGCAATCTTGAGTATCATCTATTTTGTTTTTCTATAGATTTCTGAAACCAAGTTTAGATTTCTAGGACAGATCAAAATAGTATACATCAAACTCTTCCATGGATTACCAGCATTTTGGGCTTATTTTTTAATGTATTACCAATGAAAAAGATTAGGAAAAAATTTCCTCAAACCGCTTTCTTCCTTGAGTACTCTAGTTCTTGTCAAATGTCCCTACTCTAGCCACAGAGCTTATCTCTCCAACCACAAAATTCAGCGTCTCTATCCCCACGGATCAGGTACTTTATTTCATTCATTCAACATTTATTGAACACATACTATGACCCCAAGATCCTTTTTTGTTTGTTTGCTTTGAGGGGAGGAGGCATGTGCACTTGCCAGAAAGACAGAAAGTGAGATATTACCCCCCGGGGGGAATGGCCATGCCACAATCCCTTCTTTTCCATTCTCCTCTTGGGATCTTAGGCATGCACGCACACGTGCTGGGTGTGAGTTTAAGCCACCAGGTCCGGGACTCAAACCACGGTCGACTACATGGGAATCCAGTGAGGTAGCCATTACGCCATCTGCTGGTCCCAGCAAAACCATCTTTTTTTGGAGAGCTTTTTTGCTATAGGGCATGTGCCCTCGCCAGCAAGAGACACAGAGAGACGGAAAGCGAGAAATCACCCCCAGGGGGATAGCCATGCCGCAATCCCTTCTCCTCCATTCTCCTCTCGGGATCTTGGGCATGCACACACATGTGCCCGGCGTGAGTTTAAGCCACTGGGCCCAGATGCGAACTGCAGTCGACTACATGGGAGTCCAGCAATGCAGCTATTACACTAACTGCTGGTCCCACCAGCAAATCCATCTTTAAAAAAAAAAAAATCAATGGCTTGGTTCGACCAAGACTATGAAATTGCATCATTTAATCTCCCTCACCATTTTTTTCAGAGGGGAAGGTAAAAAGAAAACAAGCTCAATAAAAAAGAAGCTAGCACATCCAACGCTGCAGTTCAAGTCCCAGATCCAGCCGCTTGAGAAATAGGCCAGGCATGTGTGCCTGCCCGCCCTAAATCCCAACAGAATCTTTGAGAAATGAAAGAAAAAGGTTGTTACGAGATCATTCCCGGGACCAGCGGTTAACATAATGGCTATGTCACTGGACTCCCACGTAGTCGACTGCGATTCGCGTCCTGGACCTGGTGGCTAAAACTCACACCGGGCGCGTGTGCGTGCGTGCCTCAGATCCCGAGAGGAGAACAGAGAAGGGATTGTGGCGTAGCCATCTGCCCTGGGGGGTGATTTCTCGCGCGCGTGCTCTCTCTCTCTCTCTCTTCTCTTCTCTCTCTCTGTCTGGCGAGCACACACACCCTATAGCAAAAACCTCTTTAAAAAAAAAAAAAAATCATTCCCCATGGGGAATGCTTTTTCCTCCTTTTTCTCTGTCTCTGTCTTCCTCTGGTGAGTACATGTGCCTTTTGACAAAATTAAAAAAAAAAAAAATACAAAGTACAACATAACTAGTTACATATTATGTGAGCAATCCATTTTTTGTATTTCACTCAAAGTCATATCTAAAAAGTCAAATTTTGAAAGCTGGTACATGCTACATCTACTCAGATAGATTGGAGACAAAATTCTACTCTGAGTAAGGAAAAACACTGTCGTTTCCTTTTTTCTTTTTAATCATGACAGATAACTGTATTTCCCATAAACAAAACAACATAAAATCTATGTATCTGGGACCAGCAGTTAGCGTAATGGCTATGTCGCTGGACTCCCATGTAGTTGACCGCGGTTCGCGTCCCAGGCTCGGTGGCTTAAAACTCATCCCGGGCGCGTGTGCATGTGTGCCCAAGATCCCAAGAGGAGAATGGAGGAAAAGGGACTGTGGCGTGGCCATCCTCCCTGGGGGGGTGATTTCTCGCTTTCTGCCTCTGTCTGTCTGGTGAGCACACGTGCCCTATAGCAAAAACTTCTCCAAAAACAAACAAACAAAAAACCCCATGTATCTATTAAGCATCATGTACAATGTCAGGATGGATACAAATGAATAAAACAGACCCTGTCCTCAAGCTTAGAATGTAGAATAATTTTTTTTTTTTTTTTTTT